ACATGCTTTCGACCTGGTCTTGGGGTGTTTCGATCTGCGGTTCAAGATCCTTGACATAAACCTCTTCTAATGGCAACGCTGTGCCATGTTTGGTCAAGGGAGAAGTTTGGTCTGGCGATACGTCAAACCCAACCTCATGCTCTTCAACGTGACACTTGGGTGGCTCTTTCTTTATGAAAGCATCTATCTCTTCAAGCTCTTTCTCCTTATGTATAAGCGGGTCTTTTTCCTTCTGTACTTCCTCTTCCTCAACTTGCATTCGCTGCTTTGACGATGCTTCCTCCAGAGCTTCATTTTCTATCACAGGTAGCTCTTCTAGTCTTACTCCGACGTCCTCTTCCTCTTCCTCTTCATCAGACACACCAAAAACAAGACTCTGACTTCTTGTTCCGCGATGCTTCTCCATCCGTGACGAAGTGCCGCTTATACGATCATGGTTCTTAGGGGAAGGAGATCTAGTAGTAGGGTGCCGGTTCAGACTCGGGCGTGGGCTGACAGGCACAGAGGGCGTTTGAGACTGTATGTTAAGACCTGTCCAGCCAGGCAGTTCTTTGCCCAAAGATGGTTTCTTCACAAACTGAGCAAGCTCGATCTTTTCGTTCTTCTTCGCTTCTGAAGCTTTGGTAGGAGCAGCAAACGACGATACATTCGATCGCAGTGAAGATCTGGGCATATTATGCTCCTCTCTTCGGGTATGCTCTTCGACGGCACGGCTCGATGGTGTATCACCGTTCTGCTCCTCCTCTTTCCCGTGCATCGGGTCTGCTTCTTCATCAAGAGAAAATAGCGACGTAGGTTTATTATCCCCATCAATCTGCGAAGGGTCGTCCCGCGATTCTTGCCTTGCCTTGTCGCTCATATCTAGGGTACCCGTCAATTCGTCACCCGTACGAGACTCTTGTTTTATGATATGTTTGCAAGATTCCTATGCTTGAAGTATTGGAGTTTGGCTTTCAGCTCTAGTTTGATGGACGCATTCTATCCGTCCTTTTTCATTGTCGGACTATACATTGTCTCAAAAATTCTTCTGTGTAGCACAATACCTCTCACCCTAGAGCAACTGCATACCATCTGATAGACATAGTGAAACATCTGAGCGATACAGCAAAGCATTGTGAGGACGTGATAGCATAGTGAAGGTCGATGGAATACCATGAGCATTCCAACGAGTGACGCGGGTTCTTCTTGTTGGGACTTTTATCGTAGACTTATGCACAAATCCCAAACACCAGCCAAGAAGAGGTTTTCTAATTGGTTTTATAACAGCCCTTGATTCCCTAGCCAAGTCTCTGAACGATACACATGCCACATGACATGTCTGTTTCCGTTGCTAGAGCCACAAAATCGCGTATCAGGCATAATCCATCCTGTGTTGCATGTGCAGTCTCAGTACAGTGATAGGCACCTCAACGAAAGTACGTCTGTCAGAAGAAACACCAGCTAGCAAAAACCTACACTTCTGCCACTCCTTGTGGAAGTCACCATTACCCACATCAGGCTGGCAGCCGTTGCGGAAGGCGCTTGCCCAGCGACTGGGGTAAGCGTGTGAGCGGAGCGTTAGTAGCATCACGTGCTAGCGCGTACCGACTCCATGGCGTGGCGTAACACAATGCTAGCTGGTTGTGGAAAGACCCATGTCGCTTTTGAGCCGCATCAATGCAACGGGAAATGAGTTGAGTTGTGATTTGAGTATTGCTAGCGCCTTACCCAAAGAAACAGAGAAGCAAGCAGGATTGACAAGAGGTAAGTGAGGGGTAGAGCGAGAGGCGTGTCCTAAGGCTGACAGTGGCGCTGGGTCTACGACAACCTGAGGTGAACCGTTGAAAAGCGATCATTGAGCGTAGGCCCATGCTTGGTGGATCTTGCACGTGTTGTGACATGTCTTTCCCTGTGCTTCCTTGACGCTGGTGTACCGCTCGTCACAAACCTACTTTAGCCGGGCGAGTAGCCGAGATAAGCGCTCTAGCACTAGAGGCGACAGAGCTCTCTCGTTGCTGGGTGGGATGTTGGGGTATGCCTAGACGCGAGAAATGTATGATAAGCTTTCGCTCTGGAGCTGCGTAACCGTTTGTTACCCCTGTGCCGTGTCTTCTGATCGCGCTAAAACGGGTTAACTCATTGAGAGGAGTTGAGGAATGCCGCACATCGTGCGATACTTGCATGAGATCCATACCAACCATCATTGTGAACGTCGGTACCTCGCGGCATAGTTGCTCGATTCAACCGCGACCGTTGGCCTACTGCAAGAACGCATACTAGCGTACCAATTCCGCCTTCTTGTGCCGAGGCGTGTATACTCGATATGACTGGGCATATGCAGAGTGTAAGATGTCATATAGATGCAGCTTCGATGCGTGTTTGCCGGTGGCGCGGCACTTGTCATGCTGTGAGCAGAAAAGGTCCGAAGCTTGAGCATAGGATGTTTCGAGCTCGATGATGCTGGTAGTTCCGATCACACTATCGACGGCATTCCCGTGCCATAAGCTCGTTCCATGGTAGCAACGCTGGGAAAGTGGGGTAAACCGCTAGACCCTTCCTTACAGGAAGATGAGAGCTGACCTTAGTTCTTAGCCTCCGCGGAATGGGACCACATCGTCTCTTCATTCGCTATTATTGCAAGGTACCGAGTGTTTTAGAGGAATATGGTGGTTGTACAACGTATCGAGAGGCGCGGACAGGTGTGTGACCGACTTGATTTGGCTCCATGACGGGTAGAGCCAACGGAGCTTATCTTCCTAGCTCAGCAGACGGGATCATGGTGTTGGAAGATGGTGAGAATAAAATCTCAAAATTGCCATAGCTGGCAAAAGTCACCGGAGATTTGGCCTGTCTGAGCAATGCGGAAGTCGGTTCAGTGAAGGCAGACATTGACAGCTACAGCGTCGATCACATGCACATGTGCTCGAAGGCTTCTCTCCAGGCCTGCCACTACGAGTAGCTCGAGTTGCCACTGCTGTACACACTATAGACACCTCCTATGTCATCTGACGTAGGCTCTTACGGTACTGTGAGAACATCGTGTTGTGTTGATAGCACGTTTGGGTTCACTTTTAGGTAGACCGGTCAGAACATGCATGTTCAAACATCACAGACGCATTCAAGCCTCCTGATTCAAAGCAATGTCGCAGACAGTGGACCCACTGATGTTTCGCGCTTGCTCAAACCAATCACTCTCGTCTTTGAGGCTCGGTCAAACCTGATCGCCCCAGGTCGGAACTGTTTGGTTATCGTGCCGAAAAGGTGATAGTACGCATTCCAAAGGCAGGTCCCCATGTCAACACGATCGACCGGAAGCAACCGAACTTTTGCTCTATGCATGCAATATGCAGGACGTTGCCCAGCTGTCCGCGACCTGTCGCCCAAGGATACGGAGGACTAATTGACTGTGACGGACTTACCGAAAAGCTCGTCGGCACGGAATATTGGCCTTGATAGCCGAACAGACAGGATTGACGGAACCACTCTAGGCTTAAGCGGTCAACGCACCTAAGCCTCGCCGCGGAGGCGCACTGTGACCAGTATGTCGGAATTACTGTGCTGGTTCTTTGTCCAGGAGACGTAAAACGATGATAAAGCGTTTGGGATCAAGTGTTTGAGTAATGCCTGGTTTGACGCTGCTTGAAGATCGATTGTATAGATGGATGTTGGCGCGCGTTGTAAAAATTAGATCTCGTGGTATCGTGGTCAGCCCTGCCAAGCACGAACAGCTGTCAGGGTACCGGCATGATAGGATGCAGCCGTCCGTAAAAAGCACGCAGGGCCTAGCTACGTAGCGAAAGAACCCAGATTTTGGTCGGCCAACCGAGTTAAGCCTTAAGAAAAATGTGGTCATGTACCATCTATGTCATTGGTTGCCCAAGAAAGGAGACCGTCAGCCGCCGGTGATGCAATTGGTGCGAAGAATGCAGCCCATGATCTTGTCGAGCACAACTCCAAGGGTCGCTCTAGAGGCTAAAGATACCAGTGAGCGTGTGGCTTGCTATAGCGAGCGCCCACTGCATATCAGTGCTGCAAGCCATCGTAAATCCCTGTCGAGATTGGTAGACAGCTTCGTAGGGTAGGCGAAAGTTGGACAAGGGCGCCCAAATTGAGAGTAGCTCCCGTTCGTAGCAGTCGCTGTGGAGGGGCTGAGGGCCGCTTTCAACCCCACAACAGTAGGGAGATGGTATTTTCGACTTCGAAACGTGAACGGACCAGAGGGCTAAGTCTTGCGCCATCTTGTAGGTATTGAATCGCTTGGGAGGCCTGCGATCCAAAAGCAGCGCGACTTCTCAGTGTGTCAAGCGCGCCCAGGCAACACCAATCCGGTAGGCCTTTGTCCGTGTTGAGACGAACAGGTACACTATACACTATAGGTGAACAATTGACCTCGAGGTTTAGTAGTCGCTACAAATACCTTCTGAGGACTGACCCCGGACAAAGAATCCTTCTCCGTTGATTTGCCCTTCACACTTTGCTCGAGCTCTGCCTTCGCCACAAAGACACGGCCGAAACAACACAACTCAAACACTCCAGCAGTGTCTGATTTGCAAATTGGCATCACGTAGTCGTCCACGTTGATTGTCTCTGCGCCAAAGCCTTGGTGCCGGTGAGAAGCGGGTAACTGCAACAGGTTCGTTCCCTGAACTCTTTGCGAACTGCTATGCATCATTGCGACGAAGCAAACCCAGCAAAGGCCAACATAGCCGGTATCATTACTGACACATATCAGCACCATATCTGGAGAAGAGCAGACTGGTTCGGCATCGTCTCAAGAAACCGAAAGAGCCCTTTCCGGTATTCAGAAACAACGATCCCCAATCGGTCTTCAGGCTCCGAGACTTTAGGCCAACAGAAGACTCATTCCGCTCAACCCAGTTGCGCTTGGTCTTGTTCATCACCAACTTCTATCGCTTATCTGTGTTGTTGAGTTCAAAACGAGGCCAATCGGTAAAAGTGAACAGAGCTTTAGCCAGCAATCTCCACCGTCGCAGCGATTGAGTAAGGCGTTAACACCCGCTATGATGAGAGGTGACACGCTCATCCAACAACACCCCCCTACCCCACCGAATGCCGGGTCGGAGTACCAGACCGGTCTGCACCAGGTTGCGCAATACAACGTAGATCGCGGCTATCCATTCGGTGAGGCAGGGTATGGTTCTCCCAGCTCGGTGGCGCGCGAAGGGATCCCTTCACATGTGTCACATGCCGACAACCACTCTCGTGGGCTCGGACTAAGTATACAATATGTAAGAGTCCTTACATCCTTGCATATATAGCCATGCTGATCAAATTACAGGACGGGTATGGTCCACCGGCAGAGTACTACCATAACGGCTCGTATAACGGCATGCCCGTGAGCAAATATTGCTGGTCGTGTTTGACTTGGTTGCTAATGAATGCCAGAATGACCAAGCTCTGTTCTCGCCGCCGACGCCGAGATCATCGAACGGTGATGATTCTGGACGTAGAACGACCCGCAGCGGACGAGCCACGACGTCGTCCAGCTCCCCACGTCGGAACGAAAGCAGCCCTCGACCGAAGGCGACGCCTAGAGCTAAGAAGGCGAAGGCGCCGAAGAACGAAAAGCATAAGACCCCCAAACTGACTGCGCCACTGAGTATCCTGACGAAGGAGCTACATCATATCCCAGTCAAGAACATGGAAGAGTGGGTGAATAGGCCAGCGGACGTCAGGAGACGGGAAGTGGAGAAGAGGAACGGATATATCACTCGTCCCATGAACTCGTTCATGCTGTATCGGTCGGCGTTTGCGGAAAGGGCCAAGTCATGGTGTCTTCAGAACAACCACCAGGTCGTATCCTCAGTAGCGGGAGAGAGCTGGCCACTGGAGCCTCCGGAGATCCGTGAACTGTACAACGAATACGCAAAGATCGAGAGGATCAACCACCAGAACGCACACCCAACATACAAGTTCTCGCCCAGCAAAACAGCGGTTCCGGCGCGGAAACGAAGAAGCGAATGGTCAGACGAAGAAGAACCTAGCGATCTTGACGATGCTGAATGGGCTCCTGGTAGTGGCAGGTCTCGCTCACGACAGGCTAGGAGAGTCGACCGATCGTTCAGTTATCCATCGAGTGGTGTTGCTGCAGAGTACTTCGACCACTCGTTCGGTCCAAATGGTAATGGTATTAATCGATCCTCCTGGGAGGTAACGAACGAAGGCAGACCGATGCCGATGCCGATAAGCCACAACGAGCTCTACAACCAGTACTACCAGACTACTGCATATCCCAACATGCACATGAGTCCGAATTATGCAGACGAAATGCACATGAGGATGGTAGAAAGCCCACCATCTTCCATGCAGTTTCACTCGAACCCGTCTATGCTGGGACTGCCCGGAGGGAATACGAATGATCTTCTGCTACAGTCGGATCTCGGCACACCATTCGACGAGGGGCAACTGGATCCAATGTTGTTGGCCTACGATGGAGGTAACCACTCGGATATCGATCCTGCAGCACTGCAGAACAACGTATACCAGAACGTCCACCCGGAAATGCAAGGAGATAGGCTTGAGCAACACAACCTCGGCGGTTTGTTAGATCTTTCACCCAACGAGTACCAATCCTGGCAGTCAGATCCAAACATGGTATCACTCGAACAAGAGTCGGAGTTTGACAAATGGATGGGCGAGCAGTGATCTATATCATATTAGCTGGTGTCTTTGGTGGTTGTATCGCCATTGTATTTACGTGCGACGTTGTTCCGAAGCGATGACCATTCTTTTCAGCATCGTAGGGCCTCTGGCGGGCTCTTGTACGGTGAGCAGCATTCAAGGCGTTGATCGAACCAAAAGTTCCGGGACTTAGAGCATTTAGACATAGTGTTATCGCGTATGTAGACTGAGATGTATATATTAGTGTTCAATCAGCCTTCTTCAATCGTCTCGATGTAGGGACATGACGTGACATTGCATCCCATGTAACATGAATCCATCGCGCTCCATAGTGACGACGAAGGAAATACCACTAGCGGAGGGTTTGAAGGTGCTGGCGAATGAGCTTGCGTGGGTTGCTGGTCTTGTCGAAGGGGTTGCCGGAAGAGTGAAGTTGGACTCGACAAAGCCAAGGCCCGTCCAGCCCCACCTGTCCCCGCGTCGCGAACGCGCCTGTCTTGGTGGAAGAGAGGGTCCAAGAAATATCCACAGCAAGATATAGACGTCAACTGCCCTAGTATTGCCCGATCAAGCACCCACAAAACCACATCCATCACGGCGCGTCATCTCGAGAACCTGACAACTTTGCGTGTCCCACAACTTGCAGCGGCCGTTCTGTTTGCCTGAACTAGCACATTCTCCGTTACTACCAAGAAACAAGACATTCGAGGAGATTGAAAAAAAAATATAGATCATGTATGGAGAAGCGGCCAATAAATTAGTAAGATTCAATGCACCCCCAATTTTGCTGCTCCACGACCTGTCTAACAAAGCCCAGGTGCAAAACGCGAAGCGCACTCTTGCCCTCCCCCATCTTCCGCCCTATGCCTCGGAGCTCACGCGCTCCATAGTCCGCGAAGTGCGCGACCTCGACAAAGACGTTTCGTCGATCCTCGCTCCCTACAGCGGCTCCTTCAACCCCAGCGCATCGCCTGAAACAGCCTGCGCTCTCCTTGTAAACCACTTGTGTATGCGCCGGAACAAGCGGTGTCTACTCGCCTACCACCGTGTGCGGAGCGACAAGCTGGAGGAATACTGCTGGGAGGGTATCGATGTGCTGGAGCAACAGGGCAGCAAGGACCATAGTGGAGAAGGAGGGAGGGGAAATGGTATGGGTGCCGGAGGCGGAAAAGAAGAGAGCAGTCTGAGTCCAGAAGAGGAAGAATACGTGAGGCAGTACAGCGATCTGCTTGCTGCGTACAAGGGGCAATGGACCGACATCGACCTGACGGGGAGTCTGGAGCCGCCTCGCGATCTCTTCATCGACGTTCGCGTCCTAAAAGATGCGGGCGAGATACAGACGGAATACGGGTACGTGATGACAATCTCGGTATGCCGAAGATTGTTCTTTTAACGGGACAATATGCCCAATACCATGCCTCTGCTAACTGACTATAAGGTCCATAACCCTGACCAAGAACTCGCAATTCTACGTCCGGCATGGCGACGTTGAACGCCTCATCACGCAAGGATACCTCCAACGTCTAAGCTAATCTCTCTCCAATACATGTGAGATCGACTCTCCTTGCCATGCAGCATCACACAGCATGCCTTCTCAACCAACCAATTAACCTGGTATGTCCTCCCGCGGAGATATTGATTTGGCAAATCCTTTACACCTCCGTGACCTGGCCCCCAAAACACTTTTGTAAGATCAGCCCCGAAGCTGGGTTGCCGAGCCGCACCCGAGACCAAGGGATATCCAGATCCAGATCTCAGTGGCGGCAAGGCTGTGTTTTCTGGAAGCACGCGCCGCCCACCATCACCATTAGGAGGAATACCACGCTGTCAGAAATCTTCACTGGACCTTGCCCCCCACAGACTCCTGTAGGCTTCTTAAAATAGGCAGAGATGGACGCTAGATGCACTCTTTGCAGCAGGTCTGTTAGTCGGCCTGTAGACTGGGAGGAAGCATGCATGCAACTATGGCGCCAACACAGGCACATGTCCGACATGCATGTAAAATACCATTAATGGATTCTGGCCGGCGATACCGCCATCAGTTAGTATCTGCATCGGTACGTCATTGCATACTGGGCAATAGGTCGTAGTCATACCAAGGGATCTAGGTTAGAGAGCATGAGTCGCCGACATTCGCTTGCATGGATATTGGCACGCATGTTCTGAGAAGTTTTTTTTGTTCACCATCTGTGGGCACACTTGTGTATGGAGATACAGAACTGGTAGTGAAACCAATAATTAGATATTGACACAATATTGCGTCTCCTGAAGTCAAGACTGATCATTCTCACATGACATATCGGTGAACTACGTGGTTGATCCACTAACGTACAATGATGTGGTCGCAACTTCGACACCGTGGTCCTTTTGCCATGGTAGAAGCTCATCAACGAAGAAATGACCTGCGACGGGGTGTGTAAATCAGAGAAAACATTAAGCGATGTGTCAGGCCAGCACTTACGTTTTAGTACAGCCAAGAGATATGCGGTGAAGCCGATACTACTCTCCCAAGCATAGTCTTATTGAAACCTTAACTCCATCCGATGCCATTCTGATCCATCCAGTGAACCATCCCTCCCAATGCAGTGAACTGACGCCATGGAAAAGAAAAAAAGATTGCAACAAGCGGAATTTACCTTTGTCAAGTCTCTCAGACGACTGAATAACGCCCAGTCGGTCCGCGGGTCGCAGATGCGTCCTCAGCTGCAATTGTCCCCTCACGTAGAAGACGGGTGAGCTCCATCATAGCCTGTGTGACGATGTTTTCGGTATCGCCCTCAACAAGAATGTACAATTTAGGAAGATCAGTCTCACCAGGCTGCTTGCCAGCTGGGTAAAAGTTGCCCTTGGTCGTGATGGAGACACCGGTTTGTTCCAGAATCTTGGCGACGTTGGTGCGGTTGGTGACGGCCCATCGAGCTTTCTGAGGGAAGTCGTTGATTTCAATGGTCGAGTGATAAAGACCAGCATCTGGGCCTTTGTTGTCGATGGGCTGACCTGCGTGGATCATACCCTTCTTGCTCAGTCTTCCGTCGACCTTGGAAGCAGCGGCCATTGCTCGCTCGCGCGCGGTCATCGGCTTGCCAGAAGCAGAAGCTTCAGGGCGTTCGGTCTTGCTAACCACAATCTTACTGTTTAGGAGCTTCATCCAGTGTGGTTGATCCTCGGCGTCAGCTGCAGCAGGGTCAGCGGCCTTGACGACACCCGGACCAGCAACTTCAGGCTTCTTAATGATCGGCGCAATCTCCTCCTCCTCGTCGCTTTCGTCAACGCCTTCGAGCTTGAGTTGACGCTTCTCGCGCTTCTTCTCAAGAGCACGTGCTGCGTCAAGCTTGTCAAGACCCTTACCACCGAAACCACCGTAGTACTTCTCGGTACCTGCCTTGGCCTTCTCATGGAACGTGTTAGCCATTTCTTGAAGCTCTGGAGGTACTTCTGTACCACTCTCCTTGAGTGCCTTGACAATGTGGAGTGCGAAGCGCTCTTGACCGGGGTTCTCGATGAGTGTGATGGCTGTGCCCTTGTTACCAGCACGACCGGTACGTCCGCAGCGGTGCACGTAATCTTCCAAGTGGGTAGGTGAATCGAAGTTCAGTACCATGGCCAGTCCAGGTACATCAAGACCACGAGCTGCTACAGATGTGGCAATAAGAATAGAAAGAACACCTTGCTTAAAGTCATTGATCGCTTCGTTACGATCGGTCTGATCTTTGGCTCCATGTATCGTGTTGACAGAGAAATACTTAGACTTGTAAAGCTTGGACAAGAGGTCTTCAGCTGTCTCTTGTCGCTCAGTGAAGATCAACACCTGGGCATTCTCATCTTCAGAGAACAGCTGACCAAGATATAGCAGCGTCTTGTGAACCTTCTTCTCATAACTATTCGGGACGACAGAGATGACCTGAGTGATCTCAGGAGCAACCTTGCTCTTGCCACCAATGGTGATCTCGGCTGGATCATGCAGTGCTTTGCGAGCCAAGGACTGCATGTTCTTTGGCATAGTTGCTGAGAAGAGGACAGTTTGACGATCAGGGCGTACATTCGCAAGAATCTTCATGACTTGAGGCTCAAAGCCCATATCGAACATACGATCAGCTTCATCAAGGACCACATAAGTGATACGTCGGAAAGAAAGCACTCTGCCTTGGTTGACGTTTGTCAGATCAATCATTCTGCCTGGAGTTGCACATAAGATATGGATGCCTCCACGCTTAATCATAGCGATTTGATCGGAGATGGGTTGACCGCCATAAGCACACTTGATCGTAACGCCAGATGCAGCGAGGAATGGTTTGAGCTCATTGACAATCTGGAGTGCCAGCTCTCGAGTTGGAGCGAGGATCAATCCAATGGGTCCATCAGTAGGTTTCAAAGGGCGTTGATCAAGGACATGACGAATCATAGGGATACCAAAGGCGAGTGTTTTTCCAGAACCAGTCTTGGCTACTCCGATAAGATCCCTACCAGAGAGGATTGTAGGCACACCTTGAGACTGGATACCCGTGGGCCTCTCATAGCCGATCTTAGTGAATACATCCATGGTAGCTTGCAGCAAGCCCATCTGGGCCCACTTGGTGACGGGACGGGGTACATCATCCGGCTTGACCTTGATACCATCAAGTTCGTGACGCAGATCGGCAACTTCTTCAGGTGTCATCTGTGCAACTTCGGAGGGTTCAGTGTAGAAGTTTTTCCTGAATGGCTCGTACTCAACTTTATCGTGGTTGACGGTAGGTACCTCCTTCTTCTTCTTCTTTGCAGCACGAAGGGCGAGAAGGTCTTCAGCCTCGACAGAGGTCTCGACAGGCTCAAGCTCGTCAGCAAACATAGCTTGACCCGAAGGAGCCCCACGGCTTGGTTGTGGCTCAGAGAGATCGGCCATGAAGGCATCGAGAGGGTCGATTTCATCTTCTTCGGCGCCTGCATTTTCGTCAACTTCCATCTTGTCGTCGGCGGGGGCTTCGACAGCAGATGCTTCTCCCATGGTTGCGTCTGCTTGGTTCTCGTTGGCGATCTCCGCACGACGCTTCTCAAGGCGAGCCTGGAGCTCGGCGTTGTTCTCTTCGTCGTCACTGCCGATTCCACTCATCTCAGAGTCGTGGTCATCGCCGTCAGCCTCAGGCTCGGGTTCGTCGTTGGTGGTAAACTCGGGGAGGGCCTGGAGCTTGCGCTTTTTGGTGGGGCCTTCCTCGTCGAGCAGGGCTTTTCTGGAAGTCTCCTCTTCGGTCTCAGCGGCAGTCTTAGTCTTGAGACCGAAAGCACCAATGTTACCATTAGCCTTAGCGACGGGGGGTTCTGCAAGGGTCAGCCTGTGGTTCGTAGCAGAGGATCCAGAGGAAGACTTACTACTAGCGGTGACAGTCTTTCCAGCAGGCTTGGCCATATCTAGTGGGCGTGCTGCGGCGGAAGCATCCAGCCTGAAGGTCGACTTCTCGGGCTGCTTCTGTTTGAGTTTCTCAGTAGCGCTCTTCTGTAGAACAGCTTTGGTCTTAGCGGTATCAAGCTTGGCTTCAGCCACTGGGGCCGGCGGAGGCGTCGCAGCAGCCGAGGGTGTTGCGGGCGCAGTAACAGCTGGCGAAGCACCAGAGCCAGGCGTATCCGTCTTCTCCTTGCCCAGACGCTCGGCGTTGAGCTTCTTCCACTCGGCCAGCTTCGCAGCGCGGTCAGCGAGCTTGTCCTTGACCTGTGTCTCGGGATCTTTCTTCCTCTCGTCGCGCGAGGAAGGCTCCAGTCGATCGCGCCTGTCGTCGCGCCTGTCATCACGCCTGTAACTGTCGGATCCAGGTGCCGGTGTGACAGAGGACCGAGAACCAGGTCGGCGAGAAGTGGAGCGGCGACGCCTGTCCCTGTCTCTGTCGCCATCGCGATCGCGCCTGTAGCTGTCTCCACGGTCTACACCACGGTCGCCACGGTCTCGAGATCGGTCGCGGCGACGAGGTGGTGGAGAGCGTGAACGTCGACGGTACGTGTCGCGGTCCCGGTCTCTCCGGTCTGGCTCCCTCCGGTCATCGCGGCGGTCCCGGCGGTCACGGTCGTCTCTAAATCGTCCCTCGCCATAGCGGTCTCCACGATCTCCGCGGTCGCGGTCACGGTCTCGGCGCGGGGAATGGCGTCTACGATCGTAATCAGTGTGGCGCGTCGCCATCTTGAGTCGGTGAAGTTACTGCTGTAATCAGTTTGGATGTGGCGTCCTCAAGCAGCAGATGCGGGCGGGTGCAATTGCGTGGGGTATAAGTGAGCTGCGGAGTTTGAAAGTTGTAACGAATAGGGTCCCCGAGCATGTTTCCTTGGCTGATGGTCGCCTGGCACGTGCGACGCGCTAAAACCGAAATCTTGGACGCTAGCGATAATTTTTGGGAAGTTGCGACAGTCCAAGGTGAACGTGACAAGTGAACATCAAACACCAGATATGTCTGTCAATCCGCGCAAGAGAAAGGTAGTTACGCGCCCGGCGCCCGAGCCAAGCGAATCGGAGGACGAGCTGGGTGACGGACTGCTGGAAGGCATCTTGTCGCATTCCGAGGACGACTCGGACGACAGCCAAGATGAAGATGCCGATACCGATGCCAGCAGTGTGATTGAGGGCCTGTCCGACGAAGATGAAGAAGAGGAGGAAGACAGCGACTCGGAGCAAATTCGTGAGGAAATGCGCAATCTGAACACCTCAGATGTTCCGCTGCGCAAGAAGAATGGAGTACCAACACATGAGATGGATCTGGACGCCTATGGCAATGCAACAGGAGAACTGGACGACGATGAAGATCTCAAGCCCAACTACACTGTCACAACGGACGCGCACGGCAATACTCGTTACATCTACAAGGAAATCGACCCAGTCTACGAGTCGGACGATTCTGACGCCGAAGCTACGAACACGATCGGCAACATCGACCTCAAGTACTACGATGAATACCCGCATATTGGCTACGATATCAATGGCAAGAAGATCATGCGCCCAGCAAAGGGCGAAGCACTGGACGCGCTGTTGGACAGCATCGACATACCGAAGGGTTGGACAGGCTTGACGGATCCTCAGACAGGAAAGCCGCTGAACCTGACGGACGAGGAGCTGCAGGTACTCAAGAAGCTCACAAGGAACGAGGTGGTCGAGGATGGATATGACCCATACCCAGAGATGGTCGCCTACTTCTCTGGCCACCAGGAGATTATGCCACTGAGCGCTGCACCAGAGCCTAAGCGACGATTCATTCCTTCCAAGCACGAGGCGAAGCGTGTCATGAAGCTCGTCAAGGCGATCAGAGAAGGCAGGATCCAGCCGTACAAGGCACCTGAGGAGCAGGAAGAGGAGCAGGACGTTTTCACTTTCGATGTATGGGCCGACGAGAAGCCACGACCAGACAACTCAATGCATATTCCTGCGCCTAAGCTGCCACCACCTGGCTACGAAGCGAGTTACCACCCACCGCCCGAGTATCTACCGGATAAGGCTGAGGAGCAGGCATGGCTGGAACAAGACGAGGAGGACCGAGAGACGGACTTCCTGCCCAAGGACTACGCTGCGTTGCGCAAGGTTCCTGGTTATGAGACATTCGTCAAGGAGCGATTTGAGCGAAGCTTGGATCTCTACCTGGCTCCTCGTATTCGAAGGAATCGACTGAATATCGACCCTGAATCACTTCTCCCCAAGCTACCTAACCCGGAGGAACTGAAGCCTTTCCCAACTACCTGCGCAGCGATATTCCGTGGACAAGAAGGACGCGTCCGTTGTGTATCGATCGATCCCAACGGTATCTTTGTTGCGAGCGGAGGTGACGATGGCTATGTGAGAATCTGGGAGATTTTGACAGGTCGCCAAGTCTGGAATGCAAAGCTGTCAGATGAAGAGGCCGTGGATGCCGTACAATGGAGACCTACCAAGGACGCCGCCGTAGTCGCTGCGGCTTGTGGCGAGAACGTCTACCTCATCGTACCTTTCACTCTTCTGTCACCCGACATTGAGCAGGCCAGTCGCGAAGTTCTCGACGCAGGTTGGGGTTACGCAACGTCGAAGCCGAAATCAAATGATGGTGAAGCACCCAAGCAAGCACCTGGCAAGTGGTCCCGTCCTGGAGCTCGCCTTGAAAACAAGGGCGTCCTGGTTCAAGTCGAAGTCCGATCAGCTGTCAAGATTATCAACTGGCACCGGAGAGGAGACTACTTCGCCACAGTATCGCCTCGGGGTCAAAGCACAGCAGTAGCCATTCACACCGTCTCAAAACATCTCACTCAACTTCCCTTCCGCCGCCTGAAGGGTATCGCTCAAACCGCACAGTTCCACCCTTCCAAGGCCATCTTCTTTGTTGCTACCCGCAACACCATCCGCAGCTACGATCTCGCCAAACAGGAACTCGTTAAAATCTTGCAACCAGGTGCCAAGTGGATCTCCTCGATTGACGTACATCCTGGTGGTGACAACATCATCGTCGGAACATACGACAAGGTAAGTTCCGGTCACACCAAACTTTTAGTAAAGCATTCACTAACTTTCCATGCAGCGTCTCCTTTGGCACGATCTCGACCTCTCCAACAAGCCCTACAAGACTCTTCGTTTCCACAAGGAGGCTATCCGTGCAGTACGCTTCCATCAAGGTGGTCTACCTCTTTTTGCCGATACCTCCGACGACGGCACTATCCAAATTTTCCACGGAAAGGTTGTAGGCGACCTAATGGAGAACGCAACTATCGTACCCTTGAAGGTATTGCGAGGACACAAGGTCAAGAGCAGGCTGGGTGTAATGGGCCTAGACTGGCATCCCAGGGAGCCGTGGTGTGTGTCGGCTGGTGCAGACGGAACATTGAGGTTATGGAGCTAGATGTGTAATATGCCTTTTCTACATGACTTGCATTTTGCATGGCGTTGGAGCAATTACGGAAAATGCAACAGATTCAATGCTTTTGTCCCCAATCTGTATCCTTGGACTACTTGTGATCTACGGGCAGTAACATATCATGTAATACCTAGTGTACTGTCAACTGTGCTAGCTAGAAAAGACGAAACTTCAGCATATCGCTCATTGTGCCCAAATGGCTTATCATCTTTACAGCTTATGTAAAGATCCCTCTGATATGCAAAGGTCCTGCTGTATTGTCCAAGCATTTACATAGTCCAACTCATACCATCAAGCCTAGAGACCGGTTGGTGGTAACAAAAGCGGCCGTTGTCATGAACAACATGCAGGCAGGCAGGCAAGAATCGAGCGCACAGTATGCATTGAACGTTTGGACATCCAAATATCGACCGCGCAAAAGATCATTGGATTTGTTAGCAAGGTCTGCGGCGGATTGTGGCCAGGAAAGGTATCTTTCGCAACAATGCGCTCGCCTGGCTCACCTGGGCATTGGGTGATCATTGAGTGATCAGTTCCACACCGCGATCTACACCTTTTCAAACTTGCCTAACACGGTAACTCGGAGCCGTAACCCCCGATCTACCAATTTGTCAACGACAAACATCAACTTCCCGCGAAGCCCAGGGCGCGCGGATATTTGACACAAGGACTGTTCCGCTGGAGCGATGGTTGTAATTGAGATTATCTGGATATCCGGTGTTGGGAGTGATGAGGTTGGACAGTAGGGGTAAGACTTCTGGTGGACAGGTTATGGTTACAGCTTCTCCATACTCGGTTCCCGCGATACAACAGCATCTCAAGGGCAGAAGAGGAGTGGGATAGATTCTGTGACGCGCTGAAATTGTGCTGGCGGAGTATCCCCGGTGCTTTGATTAAAGCCCTTATATTGTCCATGCCACGCCGTATCAAAGCTTGTATAACCGCCAAAGGATGATATACAAGGTATTAGCTATCGACAATAAAATCCTGCTTTTCAAACATTGAAAAAGATGCAGTTTTGGGTGAGTTATCACAAAAAAAAGCATTGCCCAAAATGGTGTTGCGGCGGACCGGCAGCTTGGCGCGCAAAACTTTTGACACAGTACTGCACAACCATCAACGGTTCTAGCGAAAACTGCCGAATCCGGTATATCCAGACTACCAGCCAGTGCGCCACCTACTGCATGTGAAGCACTTCGCTACTACGGTGCAAGGGCTGGTTCTCATCGGCTATGCAGAAATCAGGTTTCTGCTAGCATTGGGTAAGTTTGTACGCGATTACATGAGGATGATTCTTGTTTTGGTTCCCATTCTCTCTTAATACAGGTTCAACCATATCATGATATGCTATGCACGCTAAGACTGCCAACATCCCGTCACTTGCCACTTACATATACACATCTTCCCTACAAAATCTTCAAAGAAAAAAGGTCGGCCATCAAACGCTAAAAGGGTATCTATGAGCGTGCCTCAGCAACGCTCTCTAATGCATCCATCAAACAACCACCTACAACTCCATAATCTCCTGCGCCTCTTCCGATGCTTCTGATGATGACAATCCCGCGTTGAACAATTGCTTGATTTCGTGAGGATCCATGGTGCCCACGAATGCTCGCTTAACGAAAGTGAACCATTCCCTTGACGCCTTGTGTTTCTTATGATGCTTTCCTTTCTTCCCCTTCTTATGCTTGTGCTTCTTTCCCTTCGTCGCATTGAGCTCGTCGTCTTCGTCTTCATCCGTCTCAAAATCTTCATCTCCGACCATGTCTGCTACTTCCTCTTCTTCAACTTGAGCACTTTTCGATGCAGATGATCCAATCTTCCTGGCATACTCCACCCACCGCCTTACTGTGAGATCGGCGAACCCCCTGTCCTTTTTCGTGTCGTACTCAATCTCGAATACAAACTCGTTGGGATGTGGCTCTGGCCGAGGTTGCTTGCCCTGGTGTTTTTTGTGCTTGCCTTCGTTCCACTTCTTGTTCTCCAGCTTGCCATCCGGGCTGACCGCAAAACCGAAAATGGTACTTGCGGAGTCTTCATTTATCGAACTCTTGGAGGCGGCAGTTTCGGCAATCTCCGGCGGAGGCTCGAGAAAGTCGTTGTTGATGTGCGTGAGGTTTGCAAAATATTGAACATGTCGCGTCCATGTTAGAGTCTGCGGCGAGTATGCTGGACCAGGCGGGGCAGATTTCGAGGGACCGTCTGGAACCTTGAATTTGTACTTTCGTTGCTTCTTCTTGTCTTTCCTGCCTTTGTGCTTCCTCTTTCGCGCAGTCTCAACGTCTCGTAAGTAATCTTCGTCGTCGTCGAAATCGGTGGCGGTGATCGGCAGTTGCTCAACGGGTGTATCGATCATTGGTAGACTGATGGGGCTAGAGGCTACGTTGAGGTGTTCCAGGCCAGTGATATTGTACTCGATGATGCGAAGGGTGGGGAAGTAGTTCGGTACTACGCTGGGTGCGACGTGTGTTACCGCATAGCGTTCAGCGTATCTTCCACCAATCTTCTCCAGATACTTCTTCCTCTCTTCCTTCCGATCTTTCGAGGATTTCCCAAACATGGATACGAGCCATGCCCATACCGAATCTCCGTCCTCCCCTTCATCGACATTCTTCGACCGCGACTTCTTGTTCGACTTCGCTGGGGGCGCAGGTAGCTGAGCCCAAGCTTCTCTTAGATTAAGTAAGTAGTCGGACGCAGACGCCACTGTTACTTCTCCGTCTTCAAGAAGATTGATATCGTTGGCTAGCGAAGGCCTGCTTTTGATTGCTCCCATTTTTCCATTTTCTGTATCCTTTTCGATATGTTCGAAATCCTGTAGCATGAAGTGATCGATATTCATGTGCCCATAGAGGCTTCCTACGATGACGTCCCGGAACTGTCGCCCGAAGAGTGCGTACTTTTGCCAGCATGTCTCGTCCCAACTTTCTTTGCTGTCGACTCGAGCGGGTGGTACATGGCCGATGAGTATAGCCTTCATGCCGCGATCTCGCAGGATTTGAAGCTGAATGCGCAGCCATTCCATGTGTTCGTACCCGGGTTCGTGTTTCTTTGCGCAGCCGTCAACAGCCGAGTTGGAGGTGAAGAAGTATCTGCGCAAGTCAGTCTCTTCCCAGAGATATGATTTCTTTTGCCACTTACATGGTGTTCAAGCTGATAACAGCCAGCTTTCCTGGAATCACCTCGACTGAAAACCATCCTCCTTGCTGGAACTGATGTCTTTGCGCCTCAGGTATGAAGCCCCGCCATATGTCGAGATACTTGATGGTCCATCTGTTTGGGCCGGGTGTGAAAATATTGTGTGGCATGATATCGTTGTTTCCCCAAGTCGGTACTATGGGTATCTCGAAGCTGTTGGGGCCATGGCCCTGGCCGCTCAGTCCAAAAACTTCAGCGAATTTGGAGACCATGTACTCGTTCTGCTCGATGACCTGCTTCTGCGTCCGTGGTATGTCCTCGTCATTGTCGTGTCGCGCCGAGTCGCCGGTCCATATTATGAAGTCTATATCGTCTTTTAAGTTGTCTTCTATCCATTTGAACGTCTGGTTGACGAGCGCGAAGGGGGAGTCGCAGCCGGTGGTTTCTGCGCCGTAAAGGCCAGCGGGTCCATGTCTGCGATGGCACGCTGCGTCGGATTCTGTGCTGGAATATGTCTTGTAGAATGGGTCAGGATGAAAGTCTGCATCATGACGTTAGTCGCGACTCTGCCCTGACGATCAGATAAGACGTACCTGTAATATGGAGGAACCTGCCCGCAAGCTTTCGTCGACTATCCGCGTCTATGGATCCAGAACCCGCATCGCGGCTGTTTTCTGCAGCACCTGCCGCGTTAGGCGGGGCCGCTGTCGCGTGTGCCCAGAAGAGCAGCCCGCATAAACATGCGTCCCGTACGCGCAGCATGTCTATCATGGTGAAGAGTCAAGACAAGGCATTTGCGAGCAACTCTGGGGGTGTCGTGCGACTGTATATCCAGGAATACTATGTAGAAGCGCCGCCGCCGAAGACAGGATACCCTGATGGCCCGTCGGGGAAGGAAGGCGCAACAGGGAGCCACCGCTGGAGCACGATCCTTCAGCAACCCTTGTCATTGGTGCGTCATTGCCCGCGCACTAGCACATCTCCCACACATTCCCCAGCAAGAGGCATACACATGCCCTTCCCCACAGCCACACATGTCTCGCTAGTACTACGCGTCCGTTGATCGTGTGATGTTCAAGTGCCCGACATTCGTCGCCTCGAATTTGCTCAGTGTCAGTTGCTCAATATGCCGCAACCACCACCCCAACTATCACTCACCGCTTGGCTTCCAAGCCACGTGTGGGCCGTCGAATACTCTAGACAACCAAGAATCCAACCCGGAAGGCGGTAGATCTTGAAGATTGGGCAGCAGATGACTCGCGTGATCACATTTCATCCTTCACGTAAGCCAAGGCTGCAGTCGAAAATAATACCTCACCATCAGCGTGCAGTAACTTCACATCACGCAGTGAGCCGAGAGGGTGGTGTGTGTAGTTCATTGCATATTGCAGACCTGCAGGTGCTGAATCTACATGTTGCTAAAGATGAATTCTCTCTTTGCAGAAAGACCTTCCCTTCTTGAAATATCATGTGCACTATCCCAAGTGCTTCCGATGCTTGTTCAACAACCTGTACGCTAGTTTTTGTTTGCGCCGCCCAGCGAAAATCATAAACCCCGGGACGCGCCCTAACTAGGCAGTCCATGCAATACAGTGAGAAAGACGAAGAATCAAACAGTGCCCGTAACTAGTCATATCTTGAGTAGTCAACCGAGCCGAACACCTACGCTATGCTGCAAATATACATGACGGTGTGTGCCGCCGTAGAAATCGAAAACGCCCGTATGCCGATGATATGAGTTACGAATGATGTATAGGCATACTATGCATCCGTACAGGAATGGATCCTCAAGCGCCGTTCTTTTGTCCGTTTGTTGGAGTCGCGCTCGCCGCTGGCTTCTCTTGGCTCAGCATCTTGTTGTACATGCCCTTGACAGCCGCGACAGTGACACCAGGCCGAGGCCAATGGTGGTTGATGGTGTAGTTCCTGTCATTAGTTAGCGTGTGTGTGTAGAACATCGTTATGCATGCTTACCATAGACGATCCTCGAGCTCCACATTATCCCGAGTCTCTGCGCGGATGAAGTTGCCGATAGCGATCAACTCAATCTTAAGGACCTTGACCATGGTCTCCTTCTGCGGGTAGTTCTTTGGTGTCGCCTTTTTAAGGCGGCCCAGATTGTCGCGCACAGGTCGAAGCTTCCGCTCAAGGAAATCATCCGGCTTCTTCTCCTTAGGCTTGGGCGTCTCCACACTGCGGTCGGGTACTTGGCTCTGACTATGAGAGCGTGGACGGTCTTCAGAAAGGCGTGGTCGCTGTCTATCCATATCGCCGTTCGACTTCTTACGGTTTTCTGGCGTACCATTGCGATCAGACGTCTGCGCACGACGATCAATGCTGCCGCGGTCGTTGCGATGTTCCTTGCGGTGGGCATCAGATGGCCTGTATTGGTCGCTATGCCTAGGGCGATCATCTCGGCTCCGATCGTGATGGCGACCTTCAGTTCGACTGTCAGGACGACGGATCTCGCTACCGCTATGGGCGCGATGCGTAGGACGCTCTGAATCCCGTCCTTGCACCTTGCGTGCTAGGCCAGCTGGAGCAGGACTAGCAGAGACACCCTTATCTGCCCGACGCGCGATGTTCAACTGATGCTTCTTGTTGTTGCGGTGATGGTTTTCCATCAAGCGCTTGACATTGGGGTCCGACGTGCTCTTGTCTTTGAGAACAGTAAGCAAGTAGTTCGCGCGACGAACCAGATGCACAGCACCAGGGGACTTGGCATTCTTCTCGTCAGCCTTGGTCCGCTCTTCCTTCTTGTCGACACGGTGCTCCTCGAGGTAGAACTTGTCCGTTAATCCGAGATCTGGATCGTCGCGAATGGGGATCCACGCGCCGTAGCCGTGGCGTTGGATGCCGATACAAAGCATACCGTCCTCACGTGCACCCCAGGGACAAGAGTAGCTTGCAGGCTTGATAGCGTCCGGTACACGGAAGTTGCGCCACTCCGATGTTGCCTCAACCGCTTCCTTCAGGACGCGCATCTCGATAGGTCGCTCCAGGATGGTCTCTGCGTTGACCTTTTTGACGTTACCGAAGTCGAAAAGAACAGCTTTCTTGTCCTTCTTCGTAATTGGGCGCTTGGTCTCAGCCTCCAAGTTCTTGAGCCTAGTCTGCTCGTCCTTAACGAGCTGCGTGCTCATGGCAATGATCTCATCGAGCGTAGCTTTGACGACACCCATGTCACGACCGACAAGCCTTGCCGCGCGAAGCATCTCCTCGCCACGCTCATCGAGCGAACCATACCGGCAGTATGCGCCGATAAGGTTACGAGCCTCCTTTGTGTTAAGAGGACGCTTAGGGTCACGCTTGACGCTATCGTCTTGCTCGGATTGCTCATCATCGTCGGCATCGACTTGAGAAGCTTCAAGTGCTCGCTTCTTTGCAGCTCGCTGTTCTCGTGCGCTTGCTGAGGCTGCTTTGCGCTTCCGTGGAGCATTCTCCTCAAGCAGCTTCTGAGTCTCTTCTTCATCTTTCCGCTGCTGGATGTCAGCCTTGACTGCCTCCAACTCTTCTTTTGGAATGATGTCGTCCCATTCGAGATCGATCTTGACATCAGTGTACTCAAAGTTCCTGAGGAACTCTTCACCACCATCAGATGTAAGACCAGCAGCCTGCTCGGTCTTGTGTTCTTCAGCATTCTCCAAGACTGAGTCAATGTCGAGCTCCTCTAGCTTCTTCTGATTGCCAGATTGCTCGAACATCTTCTGTCCACGGCGCTTGAGAATGTTGTTGATGTCGTCGGCGGACGTGGGCTCTGCTGCAGCACGACTCATCTTGTCGTTGAGCTCCTTTTGCTGACGATCGGTCACACCACGCTGGATTGTGATGAACTCAAGCATGCGCTTGTTGCGAGCGCGCTCCAGAATCTCCTCTTCGATGGTATCTTTCGAGACAAGACGATAGACACTGACAGGCTTCTGTTGACCGATACGATGAGCTCGAGCCATGGCTTGCAGATCTGCCTGAGGGTTCCAATCGGAATCGAAGATGACGACGGTATCAGCAGTCATCAAGTTGATACCGAGGCCACCCGCCCTAGTCGATAGCAGGAAGCAGTAGTCCTCGCTGCCGGGAGAGTTGAAGTGATCGATTGCGATCTTCCTCTCTGCCGCTGGGACTGTGCCATCTAGACGCTGGAAGGGGTAGTTGCGCAGCTTGAGGTAGTCGGTCAAGATGTCCAACATGTGCACCATCTGACTGAAAATGAGCACGCGGTGACCGTCGGCCTTGAGCTTCCCGAGGAGTCGATCCAACAGCATCATTTTACCACTGGAGGTAATGAGGGCCTTCAGGGTCTCCTCTTTTGACGCACCAGGCTTGACGAGCTTGTTTTCGGCGTTGGGGAAAAGCAGAGCATGGTTACTAGCCTTCTTCAGCTCCATGACAATGTTCAATAGAGACTGCTTATGGCCCACACCACCCTCATTGAGAGCCTCGTAGTTGCGGGTGAGGATGTTCTTGTAGTACTCCAGCTGAATGTCAGACAGTTCAACTCGAAGGATCTTCTCAGACTTAGGAGGTAGGTCGTTCTCCACCTTCTCCTTGGTGCGGCGAATCATATAAGGCTGAATGGCTGAGCTGAGTTCGGCCAGCTTCTGGCTGGCATCTTCCGAAGCGAGATCAACGTTCTCGTCAACAGTGATCTTTCCTGGCATAAGAAAGTCCATGAGGGCAGCCAGCTCACCCAGCGTATTCTGGATGGGAGTACCAGTGATGAGAAGTCGACATGGTGCCTTGAACTGTCGCAGCCTATCGTACAGCTGTGACTCGCGGTTCTTCAATCGGTGAGCCTCATCGACGGCAAGGAACTGCCAGCTGATGCTCTGCAAGAATTGCCAGTCCGCAAGAACGTACTCGTACGTCGTCAACAGTACGTTGAACTTGATCTTCTTAGTGTTGCCGTCGACCAACAGCTCCTTGTCCCGAATGATGCTGCGGGCCTCTTCTCTACCGGTGTAGATGACATAGTTAACATCGGGTGTCCAGTTGTTGAAGGTGTCCGCCCAGGCAGGCATAGTCGATAGTGGCACAACGCAGATCATGGGGCCGTCTTGCCTCCTATCATGCCTCAGCCAGTTGATGAAAGACACCGTCTGCACTGTCTTTCCCAGACCCATCTCATCGGCAAGGATGACATTTGTGCCTCGACACCAGTTGTGCGCAAGGAAGTTGACACCCTGAAGTTGGAAGGACCTCAGTTGACCATACTTGATGTAGTCAGGTTGCGTGTCCAACTTGACAAACTTCCTGCGAGTATTCGGATTCGCCTCGCGGGCGTCGGAGGAGGGTCGGTTCGACGAGCGGTCAAGAAATCGATCGATCTCGGACTGCGACAAGCGGCTGACCAGCGACGCAGGTTCCCATGTGCAGAACTCGTATGTCAATCCCTTCCACTTGACAAAGTATTCGAGCTCATCCTCGCCATCTCGTGAGTCAATGACACGCTCTACGACGTGGAAGTCGAGCTGGCTCTCGCGCTCAGCTTCGCGTGCGACCATGTGTTGCTCGTACTCTTCTGGGTCGGCGTTCTTGCGGCTGTAGACATACATATCGTTCTGGACAGGGCCCTTGTAGTAATTGTCCAACTTGCGGTAGCCCTTGTATGATGCAGCCGTCTTGTAGTCTTCCCATGTGGAGTGGTAGTGTGCCTTGTCTTGCCATTTGACCAAGTATTCGAAGTCGCGCTTGTCGAAGGAAGGGTCCATTTCTGCCATCAGTTAGCACAAGACGGCATGAAAGATCGATAGCTCGCCTTACCTAATCCATCCTTTGGTCGATGGTCAAGGATTTTGTCAATGACGGGGCCAGTATCCTCTGGCGCGGTCGCCCAGTAGTTGGGTGTCATATCGTCATCATCCTCCACGAACTCGTCCTCGTCTTCCTCCTCGTTGTAGTTCGCAACCTGTGCACTGCGGCGTACAGAGAACCGGACCTCGGCTTGGGATGGAGGCTCGCGGCCTGCAGCAACGGCTTGCTGACGTTGGCGTTGCTTCTTGGTTGGGATATTGCGACGAGCACCCACGTAGCCATCCGACTCGGATTCGGAGTTGGCTGAGCGGTAGACTGGTGTGGGTACGTTTGAGGCTAGGTAGGCGGATTAGTACGACTTCAGATGGACAGGATGGGGCAGACAAACTCTTGCGCGAGGCTGTCCTCTGTCGCTTGCGGGGCTGATCAGAGCTGTAGTCCTCATCATCTTCGTCATCACTATCCATCTAAAGAGAGTTAATAATAGCTTCCTCTGTCATCCGAGAGTCACTTACGATGCGACGACTAGGGCGGGCACGACCCTGGAGTGCGGTTAGCTCATGTGCATAGAGACTGGAGGTGCCACGTACGCTGCGACGCAGGCCATAGAGCTCCGGGTTCTGTTCTATATAGTCTTCCTTCTCGTCGCTTGCCTTGCGCTTGCGCGGTCGAGTTGACTCTTGTGATGAACTCCGGGCGCGGTCGCTCTCTTCCTGCGCAGACGGCGGTGACTCAGAGTCGTAATCGCCGTCTGGCTCGCCCTCGGCATCGACATCGTCGGACGAGTCTGAAGCAGCAGCCACCTCGTCGTCTTCGTCGTATTCCTCTCCTGGCGCGTCGACATCGGAGGCTTGGTCAACTGCGGCGGCCTCTTGTGAGTCGGACTGCTCGCTATCGCTGTGGTGGGAAGAGCTATCGGCGGTCGCCGTATGGGCTGCGAGAGGCGACAAATGACCGTTTGTGTATGGTACCGAGGCGACATGGCCCGGTGAAGAGGGCATCATGATGGACGTGGCTGTGGTTGATGGTCAGCACGATATTTCAACCTTCTGTGGGCTCCAGCGGCTCAGAGCGGGTGCGTTGGATAGAGCAGAACTACGCGATCCAGAATAGCCAGAAAGCGACCAGGAACCAGGGTGAAGACTTGTGCAATGGAAGTCTGATGGAATGCGGTGCTGGTGAATGAGCGCTTGATGGAAGAAGGGCGGTGGAGTCGCGTGAGCCGGTGGGTGCGCGGACTGAGTATGCAAGGCGATAGGGAGCTTTTATATACGCTCTTTGCGCAGCGACGGAGCGTGTTCTACGTGAAAGGCAAGTTGCTGGATGCGTGGGCGTGATCTGGCGATGGGATTGATGGACACGGACAAGGCCGACAGCAGGCAACTCCGGCAGGTTCGCGGGTGAAAGTTACGCGACAACAGACTCAAAAAGGGAATATACGTACAGTCCATGTCCAAGACACCCTCGAAATGGGTAGTGGGGGTTGGTGGTCTTGGGGGTGAGGTATAGGCTAGGTAGGGTCGTGATCTCTGGAGCGCGGAGGTTCCTTACAGCGTTCAGCGCTAGCCCCGATTTCAGCCTTGCCCTTTGTATACGGCGAATCAGAAGCCAGCGAGTAAGCGCACCTAAAGGCCGACAACGTCAGTGTCCACACTTCTTTCACGTTGTTTCTTTCTACTCTGTGCAGTCGTCAGGGATACCTCCTTCATTCTCCGCCTCCAGACTCCGAGCGCGCCTCTACAGCAGTGACTCTCGCCGAGTCCACGCACGCACTGCTTAGCCGCCAACTTCTTCACAGTTTGCGACTCACAGGCAATCCACACCAGCAATCGCCAGAACAACAAAGCCGCCGCCAACATGTCTGACAAGCTCACTCGGTATGTCACATGCCTTTGTACACCTTTCCCATGCCTATTTGCTAACACAGTCCAGTATTGCCATTGTCAACTCGGACAAGGTACCCCACTACCCCTCCACACACAAAAATTGATCCCCGACTAACACGAGCATCTTCGCCATGACAGTGCAAGCCCAAGGCAAGTATATCCCCCCTTTGCGCCTTCCCTATCCTAACACGTCGCAGAAATGCCGACAAGAATGCAAAAAGTCGTGCCCAGTCGTCCGCACGGGCAAACTGTGTATCGAAGTCGACTCGTCCTCCAAGATCGCCTTCATTTCTGAGCGCCTCTGCATCGGATGCGGTATCTGCCCAAAGAAATGTCCCTTCGACGCCATCAACATCATCAACTTGCCCACCAACCTCGAGACCCAGGTCACCCATCGATACTCGGCCAACAGCTTCAAGCTGCACAGGCTGCCTATGCCCCGTCCGGGCCAGGTCCTGGGTCTGGTTGGAACAAACGGTATTGGCAAGAGTACAGCGCTGAAGATCCTCAGTGGCAAGCTTAAGCCTAACCTTGGTCGCTACGACAACCCGCCAGACTGGGAGGAGATCCTAAAGTACTTCCGTGGTTCTGAACTTCAGAGTAAGAGAAGCAAATTTTTGGTCAAAGGACTAACTCGCTAACGGCGCGCAGACTACTTCACAAAGGTTCTAGAAGACAACCTCAAGGCTGTCGTCAAGCCCCAGTATGTCGACCAACTTCCAAGGGCCATCAAGTCGACCGACCGCTCCGTGGGCAAGCTCATTGGAGCCCGCTCGCAGATGGATAACCTCGACGAGATGATTGACGAGCTGGAGCTGCGCCACATTTTCGACCGTGACATCGGACAACTGTCTGGTGGAGAGTTGCAGCGTTTCGCCATTGCCCTCGTCTGCGTCCAGCAGGCTGACGTATACATGTTCGACGAACCGTCATCTTTCCTCGATGTTAAGCAGCGTCTCGCAGCTGCCCGCAAGATCCGCAGTCTGCTCCGCCCCGACGACTACGTCATCGTCGTCGAGCACGATTTGTCCGTGTTGGATTATCTCTCCGACTTCATTTGTGTCCTCTACGGAAAGCCTGCTGTCTACGGTGTTGTCACCCTGCCTGCATCCGTCCGTGAAGGTATCAACATCTTCCTGGATGGCAACATCCCTACCGAGAACTTGCGTTTCCGTGAAGAATCGCTGCAGTTCCGTATCGCGGAAGCCGGCGACGAATACATGGTGGACCACAACCGTGGCTACAGCTACCCCAGCATGAAGAAGACTCTTGGAAGCTTTGAACTCAACATCGAAACTGGTTCCTTTACTGACTCCGAGATCATTGTCATGATGGGTGAGAACGGTACCGGAAAGACCACTTTCTGTAAGATGCTCGCTGGTGCTCTCCAGCCTGACGGCGATATCAAGGTTCCCAAGATGAGCATAAGCATGAAGCCCCAAACCATCACTCCCAAGTTCCAGGGTACCGTTCGCCAACTCTTCTTCAAGAAGATCAAGGCCGCTTTCCTGAGCCCTCAGTTCCAGACTGATGTCTACAAGCCGCTCAAGATGGACGACTTCATCGACCAGGAAGTGCAGAACCTCTCTGGTGGTGAATTGCAGCGTGTCGCCATCGTCTTGGCCCTCGGTATCCCAGCTGATATTTACCTTATCGACGAACCCAGTGCCTACCTTGACTCCGAGCAACGTATTGTTGCGTCACGTGTCATCAAGCGCTTCATCATGCACGCCAAGAAGACTGCCTTCGTCGTCGAGCACGATTTCATCATGGCCACCTACCTCGCTGATCGTGTCATTGTCTTTGACGGCCAGCCTGCTGTCAACGCTCGCGCCAACAAGCCTGAGTCTCTTCTCACTGGTTGCAATACCTTCTTGAAGAACCTGGATGTCACCTTCCGCCGTGACCCCAACTCTTTCCGTCCCCGTATCAACAAGGACAAGTCTCAGCTTGACCAGGAGCAGAAGCTGAGCGGAAACTACTTCTTCCTTGAGGATGATAGTTGAAAAGGTTCTTGAGAAATGGAACACGCCTCCCTCCCAGCGGCGCCCGCGAGGGCACGTCAAGACCGGGATGACTAAAAAGGGCAACAAGAAGCGTGGCTTGAGAGGATGCGCTGTGAGCCTGCTAGATGATGAGGAGGGTGCGGACGAAGAACTTGAGGAAGATCGCTGCCTTCTCATCGGCGGTCGACCTCCTGCGCTGGTCATTTCGAATAGTGCGTAATATCGACAAGGAAACGCACTATGTTAGCCAGCCCGGGTCAAGTTAGGTGACCGCCGAATATTTGGAGGATGTTGCAACACGTCTGTTGCAGATGACAGATTTCGAAACGTTTTAAGCCGAAAATTCATCTAGTCATTAATTTCACCAACGCGATAGAGAGCATACAATGACAGTACAGATGATGTTCTCCGCCACAAATAATTCGGCAACTCTCCTTCAATACCATCTCGTGATACCCAGCAAACTTCGTATACTCTTTTCTCGTCAACTTCATTATTTAAGATAGGTATCAAGGATTTACATATATTTACTCACGAATTGCATCTCGCAAAGATTAGCTTGGGTAGAGTAGTACTCACGTCGGTGGACAGATCATGTCACGAACGCCCTATCGTGTTCCGGACGCCCTAACATGTTCCGAACGCCCTGTGGATTTCACGCTAGCACAGAGAGATATCAGGTCCGGCGAATCTAGTGCTGTTTACAAACTTCACAAAACAATACTGAACGACAGATAACTCTAATCAGTCACACTTTGCACTATGATTACTGCTCCATATGCTGATTCAATGGAAAGTTCGCCTCCACGATCAGGTGCTGTCAATGAGTCGGATATGGAACTCCGTGCCAACAATCGAGACCTTGATGAGATGCGTGCAACGGAACCAGAATTCTCGCTACCTCCCGTCGACGGTGGAATGGCTGCATGGCTTTTTCTGTTCTCAGCCTTTGTTCTGGAGATTCTTGTCTGGGGTAGATCTTTCCGTTTCTGTTCACATGTAATTAAACCAACGCTCATCCTAACTGACGCTTTGCAGGCTTCCCTTTCGCTTTCGGTATATTCCAAGAATACTACACCTCGAACCCACCATTCGCCGGCTCCCGGAACATACCTATTGTCGGGACTTGCGCAATGGGCCTAATGTACCTTCTGTCGCCACTCATCTCCGGTTTCTTCGCGTGGTATCCTAATACTCGACGTCGATGCATCATCATCGGGCTGATCATCATGTGTCTTTCTCTGGGACTCAGCTCGCTGAGCCAGACCGTTCCGCATCTAATTGCTAGCCAGGGAGTTTTCTATGCAATTGGAGGTGCGCTGTGCTATGTTCCAGTGGTTGCATTCATGGAACAATGGTTCGTGAAAAGGAAGGGCTTGGCTTTTGGAATTATGTGGGTATGTCTACACCTACGAACCTCTTTCGCATCCTGGCTTTTCCTAGGTAAATATTCTTGTAGCTTTTCTCTGTCGACTGACTCTGTGACAGGCTGGCACTGGTATCGGAGGCATCATAATTCCCCTACTACTGCAATACCTCCTTGGTAGATACGGCTTCCGCACCACCCTTCGTATCTGGGCAGCTGTTCTTTTCGCAGCCACCATCCCCTTGACTCTATATCTCAAGCCGCGCCTTCCCATTTCGCAAGCCACCAAGCACCGGAAGTTTAACTTGAGGTTCCTCCGAAACAAATCGTTCCTCCTTTTTCAACTCGGCAACGTTCTTGAGGGCTTCGGCTACTTCGTCCCCTCTATCTACCTCCCCACCTACGCTAGAACTCTCGGCGCATCGAGCCCCGTGGCTGCCCTGACCCTCATCATGATCAATGTGGCCTCTTTCTTTGGTTGCATTGTCATGGGTGGAATCGTGGACCGCTGGCATATTACGACATGCATCTTCTTGTCGACTATTGGATCCACACTCTCTGTTTTCCTTCTTTGGGGGTTTTCTACCAATCTACCTCTTCTCCTCGTCTTTTGTGCTGTATATGGTTTATTTGCAGGGAGCTATTCAACGGTGTATCCAGGCATTATGAAACTCCTGGAAGGCAACGAGCAGGGCACCGACTCAATGATGGTGTTCTCGGTGCTTGCAGCTGGTAGGGGTATTGGA